TGTCCAAGTTTCAGGAAGCTCTTCCAGCAGAGAATGGGAAGTGATTCAGATGCCGTCACTAGGACTCCTGAATCAATGGGGTGTATTCCCATATCAGTTAATTCTCCTCTCCCCACCATTTTTGCCTTTTCCTTGGTCCAACACCTTAAGATTTATAATTGCCCATTTTCTTCTCCTTCTTGTTGGTCCATATTAGCCAGATCTTACAATTCTTTGGATGAATTAGCTTTCTTCCTGGAGTTTTTCCCCACTCCAGCTGTGCTGAGATCAGACTCTGATTCTCAGTCTAGAGGTAATGAGTGGCGACAGGGGTCAGTCTTGAGAAGTACAGCATCATTGAGACACCTTCTCAGGTGAGGGCTTCAGTGAATTTAGTAAGAATGAGGGATGTGAATTTGCTGGTCTGGAGGGTCTGAGAGAATCTGGGGTGCAAGATTCTCAAGGCAGTCCAAGTCTACTCTGATGTTTCTGAGGTCAATGATTTTGACAACCAGAGCTTTTGTGACTGTGCATTCATTCTCCTTCGTATCTGTATTTTCCTTATAGCACAGTGTCATTGTGTCTGATTTTCATCTGCCACACTCTGTGACTAGGAAGATGAGTGTCTCCTCGAACACCATCACGGGGCTCCATTTGCTTCCACTACCTGCCTTAAGTTGACAGCTGACAGAACAAAACCTGCTTTACTTTTTTTTGAGGCTTCCAGAGCATTGACAAAGACCAGCAACCTCCAAAGTCTTTATGATCACCCTTGTCCAATACCACTTTGGCGCTAGAGCCACTCACAGCCAGCGCTTTGATCTTCCGCCTGTACCTCATGCCACGCCGCAGCGGGTGAGATCCTTAGCAACTGTGATGTGCTTGCATGCCGCTTACCACCAGCAGTGTGTTCCCTATCGCTGTGACTCAGCTCCCCAATCCCGCTGGGACAGTCTGCTTCCTAGGGCCACTTCTGAGACTAAATACCTTACGTTGAGTTCCCTGAAAGCAGAGTCTGGGACAAAGGCTCTTGTGCACGTACTTTATTTGGGAGCGCGATTCTAGAGAGCAGCAGTGCAGGATGGGGGATACAGAGGGAAGGAGGAGAAGCCAATACAGGAAGGCCTGATGCTGTACCTCAGCATGCACAAATGCTGCTCCTTCCCACTGGGACTTTCTAAGGAGCCTTAAGAAATGCATCTCAGAATTGTCTGCCTAGGGGAAGAAAAGGGAAATCAGCATTGATTAAGGGTGGCCCCACTGGTGCTAAATTCCCTGCACATCTGAGTTATGCATGTTTGAATGAATAGTGTGTTCTTTTAGGTGTTGCATGCTACAGCATCAGAACAGGAAGTGAAAGGTGCTCAGAGAGTACCATTCATATGAACTGATTAAGATTTGGGGATTTATGTGTGTCTTCCCATAATAAGAATATACTTCATACAAATTTTTTTTCTTTAATTTTTAAAAACTTTTTTTTTTTTGTGAGCCTGTGACCCCAGCGGCCCTGACAACCACTCTCTTGCTGACTGCACGGAGGCCCGCCCCCCTCCACGGCCACACCGCAGGTTCATCTGGCTCTGACCAGCACAGCCCAGAGATCCACCAAGGCAAGCACTCTCCCTCCTCCACATTTCCATTGAAACATTTTTATTATTTATTTATTTTAACCCTACTCCCCCCCACACACACACATTTGTAAAAGCGAACACAAACTGAGGTCCAGACAAGGCCAAGGATTTGCCTACCAGTCACCTGGGCAGAAGGGCCCAGCCCCAGGGGAAATGGGGCTCCTGACTCCCCACCCTGATTTGGTGGGGAGGGCTAGACTCCCAGGCAGCAGTCCAAGGTTCAAGTTTCTACCCCAAGGTGGTTTTCTCTCATACAAATTTTTCTAGTAAGAGAAATATTAATTAAAACTGTCTAGAGTCTCTGCTCCACCTAGCAGAAAATGTGTCTTTGCAACATTAATTCTTTTGTGTTTTTACATTAATATAGCAGTATTTCACTTTAGAAGCAGCCCAATATACACACAAGCATAAAATAGTCAGAAATGAGGAGTTGTAAATAAAAAGAAAATCTATGAAATACATTCAAATATCCTCTTTGTTAATAATAATAATAATTACCAAGGTAAATAGGGATGTGGGCAAACTCAGATAGTTTTAAATTGGTGCCCATAGTATTATATTGGTTCTATTTTTTCATAAAGCAATTTAACGGTGGATTCCAAAGCTATAAAAATATCTGTAGCAGATGCTGGCCGGGCCCAGTGGCTCACGCCTGCCTATAATCCTAGCACTTTGGGAGGCCGAGGCAGGGGGATCGTTCAAGATCAGGAGTCTGAAAACAGCCTGAGTAAGAGCGAGACCCAGTCTCTACTAAAAATAGAAAGAAATTAGCTGGACAACCAAAAATATATAGAAAAAATTAGCCAGGCATGGTGGCACATGCCTGTAGTCCCAGCTACTCGGGAGGATGAGGCAGTAGGATCACTTGAGCTCAGAAGTTTGAGGTTGCTGTGAGCTAGGCTGATGCCACAGCACTCTAGCCCAGGCAACAGAGTGAGACTCTGTCTCAAAAAAAAAAAAAAAATTTGTAGCAGATGCTGTAAGTGCCTTTCCCATATACCATCAGCATTCCCCTGTACACTCAGGGGCTAATTTCTGCTTTAATTTTTTTTTTTTTTTTGGCCATGGAAGCAAGCTCAGCTCACACACAGGGCAGGGTGGGAGTGCCAGAGAGCCAATACACTCTGGAAGCATTCCTCAAACCACAACAGCCAGGGAGTTGGTGGGTAATACCCAAGCTTCCTTGCCCTTTGGTTTGGAAAATTTGACAGTATGTTCTGTACTGCCTCTCAGAGGCACCCAGTGGGGCTGAGGTCCTTTTGCCCACAGTGGTCACTGGTTATTAATAAGCCCATTATTGGCTCCCTCTCCCCTCTCCCCCCCAGTGCTTCCTAGCATCAGCTCCACCATGAAATTCTTAAGTTAGAATCTCCATCTTAGGGTTTGCTTCTGGGAAACTCAGAGATAACAGTAATAACCTTTTGGACCAATAATAATTCCACTTCTGGGTATTTACACAAAGGGAATAATCCTTAAAAAGAAGGGAGGAGTTATGTCCAAAAAAGATATTACAGCATTTTTATGTAGTAGGAAAATTGGAAAGAATAGAAACCTCCAACAAAGATTCATTGCTATTTTCAATCACACTGATTTTGCACCTACTATGTTCTGGGCACGCTACTGGTGTAGAGATACCCAATGGAATGTCACACCCCTGTACATAGAGGAGACAGACGTGAAGATGACGGAATCTGAACTAAGGCAGCAGCAGGGGGAGACAAAGAGCAGAGCATAGATTTGAGATTTCTTAGAAGGCAAGATTCCACAAAACACTGACCCCTTAGAAGATAAAGGACAGAAAGATGTTGAAGATGACTTCCAGGTTTGTGGAGTGGGTGATTGGGTGGTAACATTAGCCGTGTTAGAGAACACAGGGAAAGAAGAACATTTCATAGATAAGGTCTTGAATTCAGATTCAGATAAGCTGCCCTGGAGAAGCTTTAATATAGATTGCTTCAACATTATCCAACTTCCATGGCCCTCATCCTCTTGAATCGAAGCCAGGGCCCCTGCACCCCTATGTGAAGTTCCTTTAAAAGGAATGTTTCATTCAACTGCAGAAGCCTTGAGGAATACTTTTAGTCTTTCTTATAGGTTTTTGTAAAGCCTTGTTTCAGGAGTTTATACAACACATACCCCAGAAATATTCCCAGGAATCCTCTGTGAATGTTGTTCCTCCCTCTTCAGTCTCTCTGGTCATAAAAATACTTCCCATTGTCTCTCATCCATACCTCTCTCACCACTGTGCCTCTCTTTGTGTTCAGTTCCCCTCTGCTACCTGTTCCCTTCCCATGCCACTGACTTGTGTCACAGCGGAAAGACCCCAGCAGGACTTCAGATCTCAGCTGCCACTCTGGGCAGGCAGGGAGATCGCCAGTCTTTTTTTTTTTTTGAGACAGAGTATCACTGTGTTGCCCTGGCTGGAGTGCCGTGGCATCAGCCTAGTTCACAGCAACCTCACACTCCTGGGCTAAATGGATCCTCCTGCTTCAGCCTGCCTCCCAAGTAGCCGGGACTACAGACATGCGCCACCATGCCCCGCAAATTCTTTCTATATATAGTTTTAGTTGGCCAATTAATTTCTTTCTATTTCTTTTAGAGATGGGGTCTGGCTCTTGCTCAGGCTGGTTTCGAACACCTAACCTTGAGCAACTCCTAACCTTGAGCGATCCACCCGCCTGGGCCTCCCAGAGTGCTAGGATTACAGGCGTGAGCCACTGGGCCCCGCCTAAAATTTAAATTTCAATAATGGACAGCAGAGCTAAACTTTTCCTAACTCTTACGAAGATGATATAGTAAGACATTATGTGCACATGAGTTCATTAATAGTGAACTATCTTAATCTGAAGCAAGATAATTTCAATAACCAGTACGTTTGTTTCCTAAAAGAGGATTTGCTTTTTATACATACAGGTAACGATAATTCTTAAGGTGTGGAACGTTTTCTTAACAAGATATATTCTCCCAAATTCCAGGAGAGGTTGCCTTTCCTTTTGCCGCAGTGGTTTATTTGGCACAACACCTGCAGACGCACGGGAGCTGACGCTAGGGCTGAGAAATCTGTTTCAAAGTTGGACACAGGCCGCTAAACGGAGCTAGATAAAGTTTAAAATAAAATTCAAATACCGCATTTAAAAAAATGAAGAGTAAGAAAAGAGAAATGGAACAGCAAGAAAGAAGGCAGAGCGCGCCGGTGACTCCCCCGGCCGCTCCCAGTCCAGCTCGGTGTGGCCCACCTCCCGCCTCCGGCCAGCCCGCGAGTGCCGGGGGCGGGCCGTCCCCGCCTGGCGCCGCCACCGCAGCCTCCCGGTGGTCCTCTGGCCCCGCCCCTCCCCACCTGGGCGCGCTCCGGCCCCGCCCAGCCGCCGTCAGACCCCGCGCGGCACTCCGGCGCCGAGTCGGCGCGCTGACGTGCGACGTTCCAGGTACTTTCCCCACGGCCCGCCGGGCTAGGCGTGGGGGCGGGGCGGGGCGCAGAGCGCGCATGCGCCGCAGGCCAGCGCGCTCCCCGGATCGTGCGGGGCCTGAGCCTCTCCGCCGGCGCAGGCTCGGCTCGCGCCAGCTGGCTTCCGTCGCCATGCCCACCACCATCGAGCGGGAGTTCGAGGAGTTGGACGCTCAGTGTCGCTGGCAGCCGCTGTACTTGGTGAGTCGCTGGTCCGGCGGTGGCCGCCGTCCTCCTCCGAGACCCGGGCCCATGCCCACCGGCACCCGCCCGGCTCCCCAGCCTCTCGCTTGGGGCGGAAGTGGCAGCACGGCTCGCGTCAGGGGCGCGCCTGCGCCGACCGCTCTCTTGCGCCTTCGGAGAAAAAAAAAGACTTTGGACGTGCGGCCTCGTTGTTGGCGCAAGCGCAGACTTAGTTCTGGAAGGCGGCGCCACAGCGGCGCCTTGTGGCGAGCGGGGACGGGTCCCGACACCCGCTCGGCGCGGGGCGGGCGTGTCACGGGGAACCCGCGTGAGCGCCGGCGGGAACCGGGGTTGGGCGCCCGGCCGCGGACCCTGGGCTGCAGCCTCGTCGTCGCTTCCCTGTGCGTGGCTCTCGCTCGGGGCCACCCTTTTCGCCTGCCGTGTTCCGTGGCCGAGCGAGCGGGCGGCCGGCGTTCCCGGGACGTGCGGGGGGCGGGTGGGGGCAGGCCGGGAGGCCGCCGGGGTCGGGGGCCGCGGCCGCGCCGGCTCGGGACCCGTGGGAGCAGGCTGGCCCTGGGCAGCCGCGCCCCGGTGTCCGAAGGTGAAGCCCGCTCTTCCTCGCGGAGCCTCTGTGGGCCTGTGGCGCTGGCCGTGCCCAAACAGCAGTGGCGATAGGAGCTCCGGGGGTCACCACTCCTGATTTTCTCAGAGGGCACAGTGTTTCTTGGCGTGTGGGTCGTCTGGGAAGGCGCCAAAGCCTTCCCGGAACGAAAGTAGGCTTTGGTTGTATTAGTTCAGTGATAAAGTATCCTTCTCTAATTTTCTTTACTAGGGCGTGCCTTACGTTGCAGTCAAACGCACAGATCTTATGTATGCATTCAAACGAGTTTCGAATGTATACACCGGTGCTAGCACCGCTCAAATCAAAGTAACCTTTCTGTCACCCCGGAAAGTGTCATCATGCTGCCTCCCCCGCCTTGTTGGCCTCAGCTGTTCTGATGCCCATCACCGTAAAATAATCTTGCCTATTCAAGTCACATAAGTGAACACCGTGAGCACTTAACTAGTTTTTTTTTACATCAACGAGACTCCCTTTTGATTCAAACTATTTTATCTCTTTAAAAATGATTTATATTGCTTATACTCTCCTGTTTAATTATTAGCATATTGTTCCCAAGATTGAATTTGTTGGTTGGTGAGTTAAATGCTGCTTCTGATGTTTGGTTCACTCTGTGTATAGTAAAAGGAAAAAAGAGTTTTCCTGTAAATCAGTGTGATCCTGGGTTTTTCCCTATTCCATTTGATTAGATGACAGTAAAAAATATTTTCCATTGTCATTATGTTTGAAATGTAATGTTTTCTTGAACGCATTAGGCAGTAAGATAAGTACCCAGATTCACATGATACAGAGTATGTTAGAATAGAGTACTAACTTTTAAAGAATGCTGGTAAAGACACTTCCAATTGTAGACAATCTGAAATGCAAATTCTAGTAGGAATGTTTATGTGAGAGTCTTCCAGCTGCATCTTCTCCAGTTACATTTGTTTTAGCAGAAGCTACTGTCTCTAAGGTATAAGTGATATGTCTGAATACAGATTTGAGAAAAGTGAATGCTACAACTTAATTCAGCCTAACATTTTGGTTAAGCCAGGTTTTTTTGGCTTCCTTAATATTCTTGAAAATTCAATTAAAATTGTGATTCCTCTTGACAGAAAAATACACATAAACTTGCATCCACTGCATATTTCACATCCAATTTCAAGGAGTTCAGGAAACTCTTCCATGGACTCTTACTGAGGAATCTTGTAGTTTACTTGGTTGGTCAATGCTCATATTGTTATTCTTTCCTAATGGAAGAACAAGAGCATTATTTTGGTCCCTAGAAACTATGCCTTGCACACTAGTGTTACAGTAAAAGTAGATCAGAAACCAAGAAATCTAGTAATGGAAAGCAATTCAGGAAGAGTTTGGACTAAGTGTCTTCCTGTGGCCTTTAAAGATCCATTCAGCCATTCTACAAAAATATGTACTGACCTCCAATGGCTCTGGCTGTTGCCTTCGGCCTTGGGGGTTCTGCAGAGAATGCCATTGATAAGGTTCCTGCTCTTGACTTGAGGTGCTCACATTCTGGGACTTGTTCTCTTGGGGCCTCATTGCAATCTATATTTTCATTCATTAAGTGAAAACATGCTTGTTACGTGCCAGTGTTAGGCACTGAGGATACCTAAGACAGAGTCCTTGCTCTTAAAGATCCATCCTTATAGGGAGTAATAAACAGGTAAGCAGATAAAAACATTATGAATGTAACTCTAGTGTTAAGTACAAGGTGCTGTGGAAGTGAGTGCCCAGGAGTCCTGTATTTCCCATAAAGGGGTGAACCTGAGAATTATGGCGAAGCTTCTTGGAGTCTTGAAGGACATGTTGGACAGGTGAAGAGGACAGGGAAGGGGGAGAGAATTAGTGTTCTGGGGCAGGAACCAGTGTGCTGTGCACAAAGGCACTGAGGGTAGAATGCTGAGAGCATCACCACAGGTTAGCCTAGAGTCTGGCATGGATTTGAGGTGCCAAAGAATAAGGCAAGCCCTGGAAAGCCTTGGGAGGTCAGACTAAGGAATTTGACCCATTAATAGGAACTCACTGAGAAATTTTAGGCCTGGAAATACCATGATATTTACTTTTTAGCAAGATCATTCTGACTGCTAGTAGGTTGGATGGGGCGTGCAGCACAGGACAGTCGTCTGTTGGAGTAAACCTGAAGAGAAACCTGAGCTCTTAAACTTAGGCAGTGGCAGAAAGGATGGAGGGGGAGATACAGATTTGAAATGAAATGTTAAAGGGATAGATGTGTTTGGTTTTGAAATGGTTTAGTTCTGTTTGTGGTGCCTGTGAGACATTGAAATGGAAATAGTTGAACGTATAAATTTGGAGTTCAGGAGAGAGGTCTGAGGTGTCAATACAATTTTGGAAATCATGAGCATCTAGGTGGTGTTTGAGGTCCTAGAACGAAGATAAAAAGGGTTTAGAATTGCCAAAGGTCAACGACTGAATCTTGACAGACAACAACATTGAAGAGAGTAGGTGGGGAAAGAGGAACTTGCAAGAAAAGACTGGCCAGCAATAGCTGTAGAAGTGGGGAGAAAAGCTGTGGAAGAGCCACCGCAGGGCCATGTGCTGAGGATGGGATACATAAGGTCAAGATTGAAAGGGCATTGAATTGATCAGCTAGATCAACAGATACCTCAAAGAGAGCAATTTCTGTGGACTACAGAAGACAGATGAGTATGTTGCAAGAAGTGCAAACTAGCAAGTGCAGATGCTTCTTTTAAGAAACCGAACTTGAAGGCATAGGGCTAAGTGGCTAAAATGAAGCATGACTAGGTGACTTCTCTGTAAACCCATTAATGGCTTCCCGTTGCTCACAATGTAAAGTTCAACCCCTTCTCCAGCTCATTTCCCTCCAGCTCTTTTCTACTGTGTCAATTCTTCCCTTAGGGACCTTATAAATGTAGTTCCCTTTACCTTGGCACAACTTTCCCCCGTATTCTTTCCCTTCTTGCTTAACCACCTCCTACTCATCCCAGAAGTCCCACTTCTTTGTCCTGCCTTCCTGCCTGCCCATGCTTGGTATGAGGCCCTGCTACATATTTCTAGAGCATCCCAAGACTTCCCCTTTCATAGCGGGAAGTGGATGTATTTCTGGAACACAATTTGCATTATGCAAATCACTACTAAAAGTAACTGCTGCTTGAGTAGGAAAAAGTGCTTGAGTTTAAATTAAGGTGGTTTCACAACAATGGGCGACTTTTATGGTAATGTTTGTGTAGAGTTGTGGTTTTTTTGGTAGTGTAAAAGGCTCTAGGAAAAGAAAGGCTTTGTTCTTGAGCAAAAACTAGGTCTAACTAAAAGCCAGACTTGGTTATTGGTATGAGAACTTTTACTTTACACCTAGTTGAAATTCTTGTGGGGAAAAAATAATTTCATATTTTGAGCCTGAAACTCTCTGCCCCCTTACTTCTTTTTTTCTTAACTTTTTCATTTTTTTACTTTTTTCTTTATTTTTTTCTGGCAAAGGATAAAGACTCATCTCAAACTCTTACTTCTTTTACCTCTTTTGAACAGTTGCTTTTATAACATGACTTTGATAATAGGAGGTTTCTTGGGAATGAATTCTTAGGTTGCAGTAGAACAGATTCTATTAGTCCTAGTTTATCATCTTCATTACCTCATCAGAGCCTAATGAAGGCAGTGCCAGTGCTTTGAACAACATACCATGCACTTAGTAAGCACTTGATAAATGTTTGTTGAATGTATGACTTCTTAAGAGAAAAGAGCAACTTAGTGTGTTTACACAATTGCCAGATTTAACCTAAGGAGAGAGGTGGAGGTTGAAGAAATAGCAGGGATATTGTTAGAGCCAGAAACCTCAGAAAGGAGGAGTTGATGGAATTAAGAGCACACAGGTAGAAGAATTGGCCTTGAAAGGGCACAGTTGGCAGCAGTCAGGTTTCTGGAAAAGTTTAATTTGGTTTGATTGACAAACTAATGACATTAATGTAGTCTGAGGTTAGTTTGGCTTTTTGAGCAGTGTGCAAGATCGCCTTTGCATTAGTCGCTGCTGATTGTTGTCCAAATCAGGCTAGGGCATGTCAACGGAAAAAAGCCAAACTCTGCAAAATAATTTTAAAGAGATTTATTCTGAGCCAAATTTGAGGACCATGACCTGGAGCCACTGCCAAGAGGCCTTGAGCAAGTGGACTCGTTGTGGCTGGGTTACAGTTTGGTTTTTATATATTTCAGAGACAGGGGTTACGGGTAAAGCCATCAATCAATACGTGGGAGGCACACATTGGTTTGGCCCAAAAAGGTGGGCCATCTGGGGGGGGGACTTACAGCTTATTGGTGGGTTTTAAAGAGTCTTCGGATTGTAATTGACATGAAGCTTTGTCTAAAGACTTGGAATGTTTTAACATAAACTGTTTACCTGAGATAAGCCACCATTTGTTTCATAAATTGAGGA